CAATGTTCAACATAAAACACAGATTAACAAACTCCTCCCCCGCAGCCGGACTAACCTCGTAAGTCCAGTGGTGGTCTCCCAGTCTATATTAATTCTTTCTTTGTTTGAAAGTCCAATTGAGAAAAAAAATCTTCATTCAAATCATCCATTTTCCAGCAAAAGAAATAGCATTTTGGGCTGATTTGTTTGTTAGCAACTCTGGTATGAACTTTATGCTCACTATCACCCCTAGCGGTGAGGCACAGATACCGCCTGCCTCACGCCAAGCTTTTTCCTTGTGTGTTCATCTACGATCAAAAGACTTAAACTAAATATAAATTGTACACACATACGTGCAATACACTACTAAACACTAAGAGGAGTTTAAAAAATGTTTTTAAAGCAGGATATTTGAAACAAACGGTGATATATCAACTGCACGAGCTGAGTGCACTCAGACACACACACACACACTGTGAGGGAGCGGTCTGAGGTGAGGCACGCAGGAGCGCTGCCTCACCTCGTCTCTTTGAATAGGAATAACGGGATTTCGGCGATTTTGACTTCAGAAATGATCAAAACTGATGGGAACCGTGCCGAATATACATTAAAAGCATAGGACAGTGGATATAAATTATATATTTAAACTAAAATAATTATTAGTTTCCAATAATGGCAGGTGAGGCTCTGCCTCCCCTGCCTCCCCTGACTGCACGTCCCTGCAAGGGACTGATTCTCCAACAACAGATTAGAGAGCGCAGGGAATTAGGGGTTTTTTTTTTTTTTACATTTCTCCAAGATATATATCAATTAGAGCAGACAAAAAGTACAAATCTAGTGTAGAACAAAACAAAAACACATTATTGTTGAGTATTGGTAGTGGGTAAAAACTGTGTTGGATTCATGAGAGATGCCCATTGGTCAAATCCGTGCCTCAAAAGCCAATCACGGCTTTTGTGCATGTTTTACAAAGGTGTGTGAAGCACTTTTCATGGTGTGTGTCACAGATAGTTCCTGGTGCGTCTCATGGTGTGTGTCACATGGTGTGTGTCTCAGATCAGAAGGCGCTAAAGTCAGAGGCAGGTTTGTGGTTTGAGGAGTAAGACCGAGAGAAGAAAGCTGAGCTACACAAACATCACACACTGCTACACACATGTTCCGTTGTGATATTTCATTGTTGATTTGAATACACACACACACACACACACACACACACACACACACACACACACACACACACACACACACACACACACACACACACACACACAAAATGTCTTCCTTGGAATGAGAACATATATATATATATTTTTTTGCAGTGCTCATTATTTATTCACAGACATCCAACATGTGAATGCGGCGGAGTGAGGCGTGTGGAGTGAAGCGTGTGGAGGGAGGCGTGTGGAGTGAGGCGTGTGGAGTGAGGCGTGTGGAGTGAGGCGTGTGGAGTGAGGCGTGTGGAGTGAAGCGTGCTGAGGGAGGCGTGTGGAGTGAGGCGTGTGGAGTGAGGCATGTGGAGTGAGGCGTGTGGAGTGAGGCATGTGAAGTGAGGCGTGTGAGGCGTGTGGAGTGAAGCGTGTGGAGTGAGGCGTGTGGAGTGAGGCGTGTGGAGTGAGGCGTGTGAAGTGAGGCGTGTGAAGGGAGGCGTGTGGAGTGAGGCGTGTGGAGTGAAGCGTGTGGAGTGAGGCGTGTGGAGTGAGGCGTGTGGAGTGAGGCGTGTGGAGTGAGGCGTGTGAGGCATGTGGAGTGAAGCGTGTGGAGTGAAGCGTGTGGAGGGAGGCGTGTGGAGTGAGGCGTGTGGAGTGAGGCGTGTGGAGTGAGGCGTGTGGAGTGAGGCGTGTGGAGTGAGGCGTGTGAGGAATGTGGAGTGAAGCGTGTGGAGGGAGGCGTGTGGAGTGAGGTGTACAGGCTCGTTACGGTCTCGTTCGTCGCAGGATGATGTCACAGATATAAACAGTCTGGATCTCAGTTCTTAGAAAAGTCATCTCTGCTCTTTCAGCTGTTCAGATCTGCAGCCTAGGTTCTACTGCTGCAGGAGGCTATATTTAACAGGTGTGGGAGGGGGGGTGGGGGGGTGGGGGGGTGAGCGTGTGTGAGAGGGGTGTGATGGGAGAATGGGGAGTGGGGGGGTGAGGGCCAGTGGGGGGTGGGGGGCTCACATGAACAAGTAACAAGTGAATGGATTAATTGCAACTAATGGATTGAAAAAAACTAATAATATAATACATCTTTGAACAGCAATTTTCCAACACACAACAATTCTATTTAAATTCCCTCTACAGCTCTGACGGCAGACGCTGCTCCCTCTGATAGAGCTCTGACTGCAGACGCTGCCCCTTTTACATCACAACAGTCTGATAGAGCTCTGATGGCAGACGCTGCTCCCTCTGATACAGCTCTAACCGCAGACGCTGCCCCTTTTACATCACAACAGTCTGATAGAGCTCTGACGGCAGACGCTGCTCCCTCTGATACAGCTCTGACCGCAGACGCTGCCCCTTTTACATCACAACAGTCTGATAGAGCTCTGACGGCAGACGCTGCTCCCTCTGATACAGCTCTGACTGCAGACGCTGCTCCCTCTGATACAGCTCTGACTGCAGACGCTACTCCCTTTTCACCACAACAGTCTGATACAGCTCTGACTGCAGACGCTGCTCCCTCGTCAATCAGATGACATTAAACTAAACTTTCTTCATTCATTCATTACAACTAAAGCAATGTTAGAAAACTCTACGACAAATATTATTTACTTTATCACTTTCCACCAATTTGTATCAGATGAATTCCAGCATTAGCAAAATAAAACAGTAATTGAACTATTCAGAAATAGTTTTGGAGAATATTTTACAGCCTTAATAGTTGTTTTTTGGAGTATTTCTTGGTGAGACTGATGGAAGAGATTTTAAAGGACAAGAGGCAAAAAAAGCAGTTATGAAATGGTCAGAAATTATGGTATTTGTGTTTTTGCGATGGTTGTGTTGGCTGCGGATGGTTGTGTTTCCTGCGGATGGTTGTGTTGGCTGCGGATGGTTGTGTTGGTTGCGGATGGTTGTGTTGGTTGCGGATGGTTGTGTTGGCTGCGGATGGTTGTGTTGGCTGCGGATGGTTGTGTTGGCTGCGGATGGTTGTGTTGGCTGCGGATGGTTGTGTTGGCTGCGGATGATTGTGTTGGCTGCAGATGGTTGTGTTGGCTGCGGATGGTTGTGTTGGTTGCGGAGGGTTGTGTTGGTTGCGGAGGGTTGTGTTGGTTGCGGAGGGTTGTGTTGGTTGCGGAGGGTTGTGTTGGTTGCGGATGGTTGTGTTTTCTGTGGATGGTTGTGTTTCCTGTGGATGGTTGTGTTTGCTGCGGATGGTTGTGTTTGCTGCGGATGGTTGTGTTGGCTGCGGATGGTTGTGTTGGTTGCGGATGGTTGTGTTGGTTGCGGAGGGTTGTGTTGGTTGCGGAGGGTTGTGTTGGTTGCGGATGGTTGTGTTTGCTGCGGATGGTTGTGTTGGTTGCGGATGGTTGTGTTGGCTGCGGATGGTTGTGTTGGTTGAGGAGGGTTGTGTTGGTTGCGGAGGGTTGTGTTGGTTGCGGAGGGTTGTGTTGGTTGCGGATGGTTGTGTTTCCTGTGGATGGTTGTGTTTGCTGCGGATGGTTGTGTTGGTTGCGGATGGTTGTGTTGGTTGCGGATGGTTGTGTTGGTTGCGGAGGGTTGTGTTGGTTGCGGATGGTTGTGTTGGTTGCGGAGGGTTGTGTTGGTTGCGGATGGTTGTGTTGGGAGGTTGCGGAGGGTTGTGTTGGTTGCGGAGGGTTGTGTTGGTTGCGGAGGGTGGGGGGGTTGTGTGTTGGTTGCGGAGGGTTGTGTTGGTTGCGGATGGTTGTGTTGGCTGCGGATGATTGTGTTGGTTGCGGAGGGTTGTGTTGGTTGCGGATGGTTGTGTTGGTTGCGGAGGGTTGTGTTGGCTGCAGAGGGTTGTGTTGGCTGCGGATGGTTGTGTTGGCTGCAGAGGGTTGTGTTGGTTGCGGAGGGTTGTGTTGGCTGCAGAGGGTTGTGTTGGTTGCGGAGGGTTGTGTTGGTTGCGGATGGTTGTGTTGGTTGCGGAGGGTTGTGTTGGTTGCGGATGGTTGTGTTGGTTGCGGAGGGTTGTGTTGGCTGCAGAGGGTTGTGTTGGCTGCGGATGGTTGTGTTGGTTGCGGAGGGTTTGTGTTGGTTTGCGGATGGTTGTGTTGGTTGCGGATGGTTGTGTTGGTTGCGGAGGGTTGTGTTGGTTGCGGATGGTTGTGTTGGTTGCGGAGGGTTGTGTTGGCTGCAGCGGAGGGTTGTGTTGGCTGCGGATGGTTGTGTTGGTTGCGGAGGGTTGTGTTGGTTGCGGAGGGTTGTGTTTGGTTGCGGATGGTTGTGTTGGTTGCGGATGGTTGTGTTGGTTGCGGATGGTTGTGTGTTGGGATGCGGATGGTTGTGTTGGTTGCGGATGGTTGTGTTGGTTGCGGAGGGTTGTGTTGGCTGCAGAGGGTTGTGTTGGTTGCGGAGGGTTGTGTTGGTTGCGGATGGTTGTGTTGGTTGCGGAGGGTTGTGTTGGGTGCGGATGGTTGTGTTGGTTGCGGATGGTTGTGTTGGTTGCGGAGGGTTGTGTTGGTTGCGGAGGGTTGTGTTGGTTGCGGGATGGTTGTGTTGGTTGCGGAGGGTTGTGTTGGTTGCGGATGGTTGTGGTTGCGGATGTTGTGTTGCGGATGGTTGTGTTGGTTGCGGAGGGTTGTGTTGGCGGTTGCGGAGGGTTGTTTGGTTGCGGAGGTTGTGTTGGTTGCGGAGGGTTGTGTGTGTGTTGGTTGCGGAGGGTTGTGTTGGTTGCGGATGGTTGTGTTGGTTGCGGATGGTTGTGTTGGTTGCGGATGGTTGTGTTGGTTGCGGAGGGTTGTGTTGGTTGCGGATGGTTGTGTTGGTTGCGGATGGTTGTGTTGGTTGCGGATGGTTGTGTTGGTTGCGGAGGGTTGTGTTGGCTGCAGAGGGTTGTGGCGCTGTATATTTAGCCTCTAATCCTTGGATTGGGCCAGACGCACCACATGACCAAAATACACATGTCCAGTGAGTGCAGGGTTTATGGCTGATCTCTCATTATTGCAGACATTTACATTTCCCAAATCCAGGACAACGAGAGAATTATCATTATAATGTACACGCTTTGTACGTTTGTGTTTTCGGTCCCAGCTTTTCTTTGACTCGAAAGGAAAAACTTAATGTAAAGGCACTGACCAAGGCCAAAGGTTCAATAACAGACTGTAGTAAGTATTTTAGTACAGATACACACTACACAATGCACACGGCCAAATCATGTTTTTTATGCTATATGCAGTATGCTATATCCTTACAGCAAACTGAAAATAATGTAGCCATATTTATAGCATCCTAGCCTGGTCTTACCACACCATAGTACAAATTACATTTCGTACTAAGGTCTGGATTTGCTCCATTGACTCCGTGAACAGGTGGGAGGGGCTAACTCCTTTTGCAGATTGAAACCATTGGATCTGAGTTTACCGTGACGTATGTAATGAGCCCGAATGAGTCGTTAGCATTTAGCCTAGCTTTAGCCATCTCCTTTGCCGCTAACAGAGCCCGTGGGGAGTAGCGCCACAATTTTTGCCAGAGATTCCATTTGCTAAACATTCCTCTTGCTCCGGCTTCAGTTTCTTGATGGAACCAAAACTGGATTACTTTACAATCGCATTCTTCGCCAAACTACAACCTTCCCGTTCGACGCAAACTCTTGACGTCACCCACATCTAACTACAACACCCGCCTCCCGCGCTCTCTGATTGGTCAGATGGAATTCAACCGATTGTAATCGCAAACACAGGGACCAGACCCAGACATTACCTGCAGGACATGATGATTGACAGGAGAGTACGAATGGATAGTTTATATCATACTGTTCATCAGACTGTTGTTTATATATCTGTGTGTGTGTGTGTGTGTGTGTGTGTGTGTGTGTGTGTGTATGTGTGTGTGTGTGAGTGTGGGTGTCTGTGTGTGTGAAACCTTACAATGAGCAGCAATTGCAAACATCTTCTCTCGTAAACGGTGCTATAGCTAGTTGTTTCTGTGGCAGTGTTTTAGGAGCGAAAGCCAGTGCGGTCTCAGTAAACAGGGGTTGGACCAGGACACAGACCCCCCCCCCCCCCAAGACCCCCGTCCCATTTGGTCTGAGGGAGAAGGGCCACACACCGCGGTCCAATCTATAGGATCAAAATGCTGCATTATCTGGAGCCGATAAGTCACGAGTCTCTGTGTAAAGTGTGTTTTTTGGTTGTATGGTCAAATGGTGAGTGTTCAAGGCGTGTGGGCAAAACCATTTATGATTCATATACAGTGGTGCCTTGTTTATCAACGGGATACGTTTTTAAAATAGCTCGCAATAAATAATATCCAAGTAGCAGCAGCAGAGAGACCAGGGTCATGAGAGAGACCAGAGACAAGAAGGAGTCCAGAGAGAGACCAGAGAGAGACCAGAGAGACCAGAGAGAGACCAGAGAGAGACCAAAGAGACCAGGGACAAGAGAGAGACCAGAGGGAGACCAGAGAGAGACCAGAGAGAGACTAGAGGGAGACCAGAGGGAGACCAGAGAGAGACCAGAGAGAGACTAGAGGGAGACCAGAGGGAGACCAGAGAGAGACCAGAGAGACCAGAGAGAGACCAGAGAGACCAGGGACAAGAGAGAGACCAGAGGGAGACCAGAGAGAGACCAGAGAGAGACCAGGGGGAGACCAGAGGGAGACCAGAGAGAGACCAGAGAGACCAGAGAGAGACCAGAGAGACCAGGGACAAGAGAGAGACCAGAGGGAGACCAGAGAGAGACCAGAGAGAGACCAGAGGGAGACCAGAGGGAGACCAGAGAGAGACCAGAGGGAGACCAGACGGAGACCAGAGAGAGACCAGAGAGACCAGAGAGAGACCAGAGAGACTAGAGAAAGACCAGAGAGACCAGGGACAAGAGAGAGACCTGAGAGAGAGACAAAGCTGCACCTAAGCCACAAAAGTTTCCTTCTGACTTTAAAGGTGATACTAGTGGTTTTGATGTTGTAAACACACACTGTTAAAAAGCACGCACAAAAATCCACAAACAGTTTTTTCCAGTGTTGACATTTGACTCACATTTGAATTATAAACTGAATGCAAAGTTTCGCAACAAGGGTTTAAAAACGATATAAATCTTTTCTTCTTCCTCCACATCACAAAGAGTCCTGCCCCCATCTATCTGCACCGCACTGATTCTGCTGATATCTGTACTGTGCGTTCACCTCAGCAGAAGTCTGAACGCTTTCACACAGAGACACACACATTACAGACACACACATGCATTTTACAGCCGCGCAGCACAGACGCCGCTGCAGCTTCACAGAGAGACACACACATTACAGACACACACATGCATTTTACAGCCGCGCAGCACAGACGCCACTGCAGCTTCACACAGAGACACACACATTACAGACACACACATGCATTTTACAGCTGCGCAGCACAGACGCCGCTGCAGCTTCACACAGAGACACACACATTACAGACACACACATGCATTTTACAGCCGCGCAGCACAGACGCCGCTGCAGCTTCAGAGAGAGACACACACATTACAGACACACACATGCATTTTACAGCCGCGCAGCACAGACGCCACTGCAGCTTCACACAGAGACACACACATTACAGACACACACATGCATTTTACAGCCGCGCAGCACAGACGCCGCTGCAGCTTCACACAGAGACACACACATTACAGACAAACACATGCATTTTACAGCCGCGCAGCACAGACGCCGCTGCAGCTTCACAGAGAGACACACACATTACAGACACACACATGCATTTTACAGCCGCGCAGCACAGACGCCGCTGCAGCTTCAGAGAGAGACACACACATTACAGACACACACATGCATTTTACAGCCGCGCAGCACAGACGCCACTGCAGCTTCACACAGAGACACACACATTACAGACACACACATGCATTTTACAGCCGCGCAGCACAGACGCCACTGCAGCTTCACACAGAGACACACACATTACAGACACACACATACATTTTACAGCCGCGCAGCACAGACGCCGCTGCAGCTTCACACAGAGACACACACATTACAGACAAACACATGCATTTTACAGCCGCGCAGCACAGACGCCGCTGCAGCTTCACAGAGAGACACACACATTACAGACACACACATGCATTTTACAGCCGCGCAGCACAGACGCCGCTGCAGCTTCAGAGAGAGACACACACATTACAGACACACACATGCATTTTACAGCCGCGCAGCACAGACGCCACTGCAGCTTCACACAGAGACACACACATTACAGACACACACATTACAGACACACACATGCATTTTACAGCCGCGCAGCACAGACGCCGCTGCAGCTTCACACAGACGCCGCTGCAGCTTCACACAGAGACACACACATTACAGACACACACATGCATTTTACAGCCGCGCAGCACAGACGCCGCTGCAGCTTCACACAGAGACACACACATTACAGACACACACATGCATTTTACAGCCGCGCAGCACAGACGCCGCTGCAGCTTCACAGAGAGTGGAAAAAAGGCATCAAGCTAAAAAAGAATGTGGAAATGGAGGCTGCACCCACCACCACTCATTGTTTCCACTCAAAGACACAAGCTTTAAACTACTACACAATTCACATCCGAGCAGAGGAGGAGGGGGGGGGGGGGGGGCGGGGCTGCAATATTCAACATTGGAAAAAGAACGTCGTAATTTTGCTTAAAGCTTGAGTTGAAGCTGGTTTAACCTCATTTCTGTATCATAAATAATACATGTTTCATTCAGTTCGATTCAGTGTCTTTTTCTGTTGCACTAAATCACAACAGAAGTGATTTCAGAGAACTTTAAACCGACCACATTTAGTATTCTCTCTTTAGTTGTGTCTGATCAGGAAACACCATGTGGCTCAAGACTTGACATAAACCCAGACCTAGACCAGTGCACCATGGTCCAGACCTATAGGCCAGTGCACCATGGTCCAGACCTAGACCAGTGCACCATAGTCCAGACCTATAGGCCAGTGCACCATGGTCCAGACCTAGACCAGCGCACCATGTTCCAGACCTTTAGGCCAGTGCACCATGGTCCAGACCTATAGGCCAGTGCACCATGGTCCAGACCTAGACCAGCGCACCATGGTCCAGACCAATAGACCAACGCACCATGGTCCAGACCAAGACCAGCGCACCATGGTCCAGACCTAGACCAGTGCACTATGGTCCAGACCTATAGACCAGCGCACCATGGTCCAGACCAAGACCAGCGCACCATGATCCAGACCAAGACCAGCGCACCATGGTCCAGACCTAGACCAGTGCACTATGGTCTACCTCAGCTTTACATGTGGTGGAAGTGACTCAGAATATTATGATCTTATGTTATTTATATTTCAGATGAGGTCTGGAGGTGTTGATGGTGTGAGTGTCCTGGTTACCATGTGTGCGCCGCTGGTACAGTGTCCTGGTTACCATGTGTGCGTTGCTGGTACAGTGTCCTGGTTACCATGTGTGCGCCGCTGGTACAGTGTCCTGGTTACCATGTGTGCGCCGCTGGTACAGTGTCCTGGTTACCATGTGTGCGTCGCTGGTACAGTGTCCTGGTTACCATGTGTGCGCCGCTGGTACAGTGTCCTGGTTACCATGTGTGCGTCGCTGGTACAGTGTCCTGGTTACCATGTGTGCGTCGCTGGTATCTTTTTTCTTTGGCTTTTAATACCAAGTAGAGACAAGTTACAAAATATAATATTGTGTCTCAGATCAGAAGGTGCTAAAGTCAGAGGTCTGTGATTTGAGGAGTACAGTAAGACCGAGAGAAGAAAGCTACACAAACATCACACACTGCTACACAAACATCACACACTGCTACACACATGTTACGCTGTGATATTTCATTGTTGATTTGATTACACACACAAACACACACAGACACACACACACACAGACACACACACACACACACAC